AAAACCAAATTCCTTTTTCATAGGGCAAGACAACTTTTGAGAAGTTGCAAGGTAGATTTCGGCAAAATATTAACCAGGTGTCTCATAAGCTTTTACAGAGTGAAACATTTATTATATTATTAGTGTTATTGTCTTGACTCTGCGATAGCACACACTGAACATCTTTTAAGTCCCCACAAGGCTATTCCCAAAAACCCAGAGAGTAGAACCAGCAAATATTGTTAAGTTTACATGGTGACAGCTGGAATGTGTATTATCATTTCCATCCTTCCTCACAATGAGTGTGTTATGATGGAGGAGGTTAAGAGAATTCTTAGTCTCTTACAAACTCCAGGACCCAGAATTCTGTGGGAGAGATACCAACGGCAGAAAAATGGCAGTTACAGAGGTACAAAACTAATACTCCTTTTAAAGTGTGTATATGTATGAGAAACTGTACTATGTTAAAATTTACATGCTACATATATCTCAGACATCTGGCTAGTCCCAATTTCCCAGTAAGGAGGGATGGAAGGAATATAGTAGAGTTAAAATTTCGCACATCTTCCCATGCTGAAACATCTGTGTGCCTATGGAGGCCAGTTATATTATGAGATATTCACAAAGAGGTCATATGGTTTCCTTTCCTTCTTATATGTTCTGTCAAAACATATAGGGAGAGATGTAAGGAGTTGAGTTTTTCCAAATCCTATCTCAGCCTGTAAAGCTCACAACAAACCAGTGATTCACTATTGCGGTGGGGCAAAACTAGGAGGCTGATGGGATAACTGTACCAGCTCATTCCCACCATTTCATCATTTCAGTTGTTTAGTCAAGAGTTAGAAAGGACAGGTCAGTAATAGTTGTGAGATGTGGTGTTTATACTATTGGAGGTAGAGGAGTTTGACTTCAAGCACTAGCTCCTTCCCAAACTGTTAGAAAAATTGGACTTATATGAACTTGGTCCTGTATTAAAAAAACAATCTCAATAACAAGGAAATGCCTCTTTCACACCAACCTAAACATTATTTCCAGAACACTCCATAGAAATTCACCATAATTACAGTCAAAGGTATCCACAGGAAGGTGCAATTAACATCAAGTGTCATGATTTCATTTATGAAACATCAACAAACATCAAAAACAGCTAACTGGCAAAAAAGGGTCTAAAGGCAGGTAAACACAGGGAGAAAGAGAG